GGAATTATCTCCTGTTTAATGGTGTATCGTGTCGTACTTCCGATCATGGGAATTATCTCCTGTTTAATGGTGTATCGTGTCCTACTTCCGATCATGGGAATTATCTCCTGTTTAATGGTGTATCGTGTCCTACTTCCGATAATGGGGATTATCTCCTGTTTAATGGTGTATCGTGTCCTACTTCCGATCATGGGAATTATCTCCTGTTTAATGGTGTATCGTATCCTACTTCCGATAATGGGGATTATCTCCTGTTTAATGGTGTATCGTATCCTACTTCAGATAATGGGGATTATCTCCTGTTTAATGGTGTATTGTGTCCTAATTTCGATCATGGGAATTATCTCAAATTTAATGGTGTATTGTGCCCTAATTCCGATTCCCCATTATCGGAAGTAGGATACGATACACCATTAAACAGTAGATAATCCCCATTATCGGAAGTAGGACACGATACACCATTAAATAGGAGATAATTCCCATGATTATCTCCTGTTTAATGGTGTATTGTGTCCTAATTTCGATCATGGGAATTATCTCCAATTTAATGGTGTATTGTGCCCTAATTCCGATAATGGGGATTATCTGCTGTTTAATGGTGTATCGTATCCTACTTCCGATAATGGGAATTATCTGCTGTTTAATGGTGTATCGTGTCCTACTTCCGATAATGGGAATTATCTCCTATTTAATGGTGTATTGTGTCCTACTTCCTGTTCTGTATAGAGAACTGTTTTACGGATGTCACATGGAGCAAATACACTTTCGAGTTTTTGTGATCCACATTTCTCATTGTTCTGCTACAAAACGCGAATTGCGGAGTGAAATGGATCCATCGGATTCACAGTCCAGTGCGCCTCACTACGATGGATCATTTGGATATCCGAGTTGGTTTTATTTTTTACTTTCTTTCCTCTTCCGCAAATACAAAGCAACTTGAATTTTTCTCTTTACATAGTCCCCTGGTGGGTTAAAGGTAAGTTTACGGACCATAAAATCTGGGGTTCGACTCCTCGCGATTCATAGAGTGCAGATAGTATATTGTGTAGCTTTGCACTAAAAAAAAAAAACAGCAACTGAACTCTTTACATGACCCTATGCTTAAAGCCTTGATCCCTGCTGGCACATATTAAGTTTTAGCATGTGAAAGAAATGTTATAGAAGCTGTGCTAGATAGAAAACCCGAAACAGGAGGGAAACGGCTTAATAAAGTGCCTAAAATCATAAAATATTTACCAAGACCGTTCAAGAATAATAAGGAACAAGGGTGAGTAAGTTTCTTAATTTCATAAATTAGTTTAAATTATTGCATATTAAATATATAACCACAGCCAGATTGGAGGGGTGACAAACGGGTGCAATTGCATCGGGCCTCCCCGATCGTTTGCTTGTTTTTGAAATTTTTCGCAAGGCTACTCGAGGGCTATCTGCGCTAGCCGTTCCTAATTTAGAAGTGATAGACCAGAGGGAAGGCAACTAATCAACATCACTCACCCGCCAACTCTTGGGCTACTCTTTTATCAAAGAAAAGTGGGATTGACCGTTACATTATAACACCCCCAACACTGAAAGGGGGAGCAGGTTCGGTGACGGAATTTGAACTCGATACCTGCAGATTGCGAGTCAATATCCCTAATCACTAGGCCACGCAGAGGTCTCCTTCAGCATCGATGAGGGGGCTTCCGACTAAGATAATTAAAAAATCTAAAAACTGGTTGTCTCATTGAAAAACATATGTTTGCAATTGTGTCACTATGATAATGTTACGTCTCCGTTCGTTAATTAATTTTCCGTAAATTCGTTCCGACGAAACTTTAGCGACACAAGTCCTTTCTTAAATAAAACTGGTTTAGTCTTTCTGAATATAACTTTGCGATACACTTAATTTCAACAGTCGCGCTCAACTTCAATAATACTCAGTTCAATTACACACTCTCTGACTGCAGTTCAATTACTCATTACCTCTGTTGTCCCGTCACGTTGTGACCATCTTATATATACCAGACTACCCCCAATCTAGTAATCTCCCGACAATTCACGAAGGTTCGAGAAGGAAGTGGCGTGATACTAGTCACGTGACCTCGCTGACGCAACAATAACATATAAGCCTATTATTTTGTAATTTTCAGTAACATGTTCTTACAGCTTGTTCTTTCATAAATATTTGCTCAGCTATTTAACAAATATAATTCGTTGTCATTAAATTATTATTAAAATTTGTTATCATAACTTTATAGTTATTATAAATATTAGAATTAGTATTTTGTATTGTACCTAGCTATTAACTGTGTTTGTGTATTCCTGGCTATTAACTGTTGTTACGACAGCGGGGGTCACGTGACGATAGTAACACGTCATATTCCCAAAGGTTCCTGAAGCCTCGAGTGTTTACTAGATGTACGGTATTCTTGCATATAAGACGGCAACAATGTAATTGAACTGCAGACAGAGATAGAAACGGACAGTTGAGTCGAGCACGTGAGTCGTTCGTTGTGAATTATAGCGTTTGTTATAGCGTGACTGTGGAAATTAAGTGTATTGCAAAGTTGTATTCAGAAAGAATAAACCAGTTTTATTTAAGAAAGGACTTGTAACGCTAAAGTTTCTTCGGAAAGAAATTATACGGAAAATTAATTAACAACCAGAGACGTAACACTGTGTCTGTGTATTACCTAGATATTAACTGTGTTTGTGTATTACTTAGCTATTAACTATGTTTGTGTATTACCTAGCTATTAACTGTGTTTGTGTATTACCTAGCTATTAACTGTGTTTGTGTATTACCTAGCTATTAACTGTGTTTGTGTATTACTTAGCTATTAATTGTGTTTGTGTATTGCTTAACTTGTAGTTAATAAAGAGTACTGAATTGTATTTGACTTATTTATGAAGTTCAGTTCTAACAATTTGTTCCGAGCCATCACCCCCCCCCCAAAAAAAAAGTCCTTAATCCGGCCCTATGTATAGAATATGACTTATTGTACTGCAGATATAAGTTTTAGAAGGATTTATAGTAATTTTACATCAAATAAGAGAATTTACCCAAATGAATTTCCTCAATATGATGAAACAATACTATAATTAAGGATTTCCACATTACAAATGTTGGGTCTAGATAATTAAAAAAAAACGCACTTTACCGAAGGTCTCAGTCAGACTGCTATTTCGTCAGATTTTCCTTTCGTCACTTTTGATAGTTAGGCCTTTTTATATGTATGGTGCTTTGTCTTTTACTCATCACAGAGAACCTATGTTTATATAGCATGTGAAGAATATTTAACATTGATGCTACTATTTTATTCTTCTGAATATACAGCTTTTTAATTTATCTCTATTTTTAAAAGTATGCATGTTAAGCCTTTTTAATACTGTTTGACTTTACAAGTATTGTGCATTAGGTATTATCATTTTAGCTTTTTAGGCTTGTGTTTAAGCTTTTTTTAATCTTCGTAAATTTGTAGTTAAACCTTTTTATAATTTTTCTTTATAATCAGAGACTTAAGACATGTGGCCAAATCAGGTTATTGACTCATTATAGTAACTTGTTGACTTTATTAAGAGTTTTGTATACATTCTAAGTAGCTTCCTTTCCCTACCGGTGGCTTATTGATAAGTCAGAAAGAATATTGCCGGCGGTGGCAGAGCACAAATAGGCCATTAAGTAACATCTGGGTTCAGCGTTAAGAACGATAAAATAAACATATTACTTGAGAACGCCCACATTGAATATGAGTAGAACATGGTCAAGGGCATCACACCCTTTACATAACGCGTAGGATTTTTTTCCCCAGGAAAAAATTTCAAAGTGAAATTAGGACACAACAACAACATGAAAAGGGTTAGGAAATATACAACTTTCTGTATAATTCCCAAACACTGTGTTAAATCACACACCTCCTGAGCATAGAGTTAGTTGTTTTCTACCATTACCCCTGGTGGCAATATTTTATAATATATTGTTTTAAACTATTTTTAAATACTGTAACGTGTTTGCCACTACAGTCAGAGTGCGCATTACGTTAAGATGAAGTTAGTCCTAGAATATTCAGGAATGTTAATGAATGAGAGGCTTTACGAAATATCAGGAACAAGGATTAGATTATAAATACAGGGTCAGTAAAGCATCAAGAGGATAGATGAGGGATAGTTAAAATAGATATAGTTATTTTAAGATAGAGAGTTAAATCAGTCAGTGTATTTTCGGGAATTATTTGGATCTGCTATCGCGCCTAGTGATTTACTTTCTACAAGTAAGTTGATTTTACTTTATTCCTACTGTTATTAAAGAGGTTTGAACGTCATTTGTAGCGAAGCCCTACAACAAGTTACGACAGTGTACAACTTTGTGAAAATGTTATAGAAGGAAGTAAAGTAGTTTGTTCTTGTCACGTGGAATGAACGTTGAACTATTCTGACTGGATAATTTAAAATAACCCACCAATGAAAGACCGACGTTACTACAATATATATATATCACCTTTTTTTATAGTACAAAAACAGTTATGTTGGATTTATGTAAAATTTAGCCTGTAAAACGAGACTGATTACATATACAGCTTCTTGAAATTTCATTCAGTGGATACTGGGACTAAAATTATATGTTGGGACTTATCATATATTCATAGGGTCAGACCAGAGTAGCCTAAGAGTTACCAGTGGGTGGTGTTGATTAGCTGCCTTCCCTCTAGTCTATTACTTTAAAATTAGGGACTGCTAGAACAAATAGTTCTTAACTAGCTTTGCACTAATATCTGACAGAACAAACAAACGTAAAATAATATTTTAATTAAACCAGATCATCTGGTTCCAGATTAAAAAAACTTGTAAAAATTATTACTTACAAGGCTACTGCTTTTTTATTTTATCTGATAATTCTAGTGCCAGGAATTACGAATATTACTGTGTTGTTATAACCTTATGTTAAACCTAAACTTATTAACGTGCATTATAACAATCTGAGTGAAGAATTTTAAAGTTTGTGTATGTATTGATTGGTCCCCCCGTTACTTGTATTTTCTGAATCCTGCCAGGTTATTCACATTATCTAAATTTCAATTTTATTGACAACATTTATATTCAGTGGTGGTTTAGGAAATTAAATATTTTTACTTTTATATTTCAGCCATGCCTACTAGTCAAGATTCAGAGGTTTCTAGTAACGGACCTGCGTACAGACTGAATCCAGAAACAACATCTGAATCAACTCCTTTGCTATCGAACAGTTTACAAAAAAGATGTTGGGACAAATTCCTGAAACTCCCTGGATTAGGTTTTATGTGTTCCCTTGGCTCGGGTGTTTTTGTTGCAATTTGTTCTTTAATGTTTAAACTTTTACCGTCAATAAACCCACTAGAGATCCTTGTTTTTAATTCTGTTTTCCAAACAGCTATTTTTGCCAGCGTTATTATCAAGACGCGAGAGCCTTTATTTGGTGTTCAAGGGGAGCGTTGCTTTCTTCTCCTGAGAGCCATTATCGGAGCAGTATCCGCTACTTTAATCTATTCCGCATTTCAACTGATTCCTTTGGCTGATGCTTCTACCATTGCTTTCAGTGCTCCAGTCTTTGTAAATGTTTTTGCATGTGTCTTGCTTGGTGAATCTTGTGATGGCTTCCACGTAGTAACTGTGCTCACTACCGTGACAGGTGTTTTCCTAATTTCCAAACCACCTTTCCTCTTCCGAGATGAACAAGATTCGGACGTTTCTACTAGCGACCGCATAAGTGGCTCCTGTATGGCTTTAGGTGGTTGTTTGGGTATGGCATTGGTCTTTGTCGTCATGAGGAAGTTAAAACGTACAAGCTATTCCTCTATCAACATTGTTTTCTCCAGTTCGATTGTTATCTTAGATTCTGTTGTTTTGACGGTCATCAATGAATGGTCGTTTCCTCACTGTGGTGAAGATGGTTGGTTTATTATTGTGTCGGTGATTTCGTTCACAGTAGCAAGCTTTCTTCAAACTGCTGCCTTGAAACTGGAAGAGGCTGGCCTTGTGTCCATCGGACGCACAATAAACGTAGTTTTGTCCTTCATATTTCAGGTTATGTTGTTGGAAGAGCGGGTCGGGTGGACAAGTGTTTTGGGGGCAGTGCTTGTGTGCTCCTCTGTGGGGGTGATCGGTATCAAAAGATGTAAGAACTCAACGTAAGAAGTGAATGACTGAAGTCATTATTATAATCTCTGATATGAATAACGAGCCTGTAAGTTGAAAAAAAAAACGTGAATAATTAAATAGAAAGGTTATTAGTAAGTAAATTATCACCAGTCTCCAAAAAGTAAAAGAAGAAAAAAACGTGATTTGTCAACTGTTGAAAAAACTCACAACACCAGAAAACGTATTCAAAACCTGACAGCACCAGGAAGATATAACTGGTCAGAAACTCAACACCAGGAAATAAGTATTCAAAACCTGACAGCACCAGGAAAAAAGTATTCAGTAACTCAGCACCAGGAAGATATAACTGGTCAGAAACTCAGCACCAGGAAACAAGTATTCAGTAACTCAGCACCAGAAAGTAACTGGAAACTGTGTTGTGAGAGCTGAAATGGGGAAAATCTTGGACATTTATGTCGATAAGATATAGTATTGAGTTTTAAATTTCTTACATAATTTTATAATTTATTTTGTTAAATAGTAATTAAAAACACTTTAAACTGTAATGAGTGTTTACAAATATGTAATAAACGTTTCGTACGTATAGTATTTAATCAGTTATGTTCATTTTGGAAGTTTCGTGTCATTATAAATACAGCCAATAAGCTAGTAACAAATAAAACATGTGACCAAATCTTTCCCTTTATCACTGAATATTGTTACGTCTTCGTTTGTTAATTAACTTTCCCTAACTTCGTTCCGACGAAACTTTAGCGACACAAGTCCTTATTTAATAAAACTGGTTTATTCTTTCCGAATATAACTTTACGATACACTTAATTTCAATATTCGCGCTAAAACAAACACTATAACGAACGAACGTTAACTTCAACAATACCCTGTGACTGCAGTTCAATTACTCACTACCTACACACACATTATTATTCCGTCACGTTGTCACCCTCTTTTATATACCAGACTACCCTATATCTAGTAAAT